AAAAGGTCTTTGTATTTAGAAGCAGTGTTCTCTAAGGCCATGGAGATTTTGGCTGGGTCTGTCAGTGGGCATTCTACGACCTGAATTGCCGCCTCACGGAATCGACGAATGAAATCCTAGAAGGAGTCTCCTGGATTTTGCTTCATTGCACTGAGCTCGCCCAGAGAGAGAGATCTTGGTGTCGACCCACGGTAGTGAGAGACGAATAAGTTGAACATTTCATCTGGAATGATGTGTGGTTGAGCGGACATTGTTCTCTGATGCCAGTTCAAGGCCTTGCCGGTCAATGTTTGCAAAAATATGGCCTTAAGTTGGCTAGGCCAGTCTCGCAAAGCTCTCACGGAGAGGAGATACCGTTGACTTGAGCATCTAGATCACTCTTCCCGTTAAACTTGTTTCTAAATTCTGGAATAACAAATCACAAGGGAAGGTCCTCCATGCTTCAAAGGGTTTCTTGAACATAGGCCTTTGGGGGTAGAATATCATGCATTCTCATTCTTACGAGCATATCCTTCATTGCTTTTAAAGTGCCTTCTTGTTGGGTGTTCGGCATGACAATAGGCCCACTGGTCGGTGGGTTCCCTAGCGTGGACTGGTGAGTCAAGATTTGGGGTATACATTGGCCTGCATGGGCCTGAGATTGATGAGCCGCAGTCATCGGAGCGGTTTGATACACTTGAGCCTGAGGGGCATATTGACCCTTGGGTATCGCCACCGGTTGCGGAAATTGCACGGTTTGTTGGACCAGATGAACTAGAGGGACCGATTGAAGAATCGGCTGACTCAGTTGTGCTAAGGGTTGACCTAACCACTGACTTGATTTGGGCTCGACCTGTAAGCTGGGGCATGAACAATGTAACCTAGGTTAACTAGACTTTTAAGTGCAGCTTGGATGCCTATCTCACCTAGGGGTTGGTTTGGGTCGACACCTTTGCCTTGTACAGTGTTCAAGACATCATGAGCTGAACTACGACGACTCGAGGTAGGGTTAGATCCCTTAGACCTAAGTGGGTCTTGGTCTTGAGACCTCTGCACCCCAGAGTTATCTCGTTTCGAGTTGTGGGAATTGGCATTAGATGCTGCATGAATTTCTTCCCTCACTAAACTTCCACTTTGGCTGCCTAAAGTCCCCTGTAGGACTACTCCAGGTCAGACCCCTTGACTATTTAGAGTCTTTTCGGGCTAAATCTGCCTTTCGGATCACACCAATTTCAGGATTAAGAGTGGATGCTTAGGACTCTGTCTCTAACTGAACACCTAGGCGTTGGATAATGGATTGGCCTGAGGTCTGTTGATAGTTCCAAGGGATTGCAGCATATTGGTTCCTAGGTTTGGGAAGGTTTGGTTTAGAGTCAGCTGTGGAGCAATCATCACGGTCGCCTTGAGTAACCGACATAGTGACTCTCTTTGGCTAGGTTCTAGAATTCAGACTTAAGAAAGAACTAGACTTGACGACTTAGGGCAGACTTAGCCTAACTCTAGGGGCAAAACTTCGATTAAGACCTAGGCTAAGACTAGACTATAATCTAGACTTGCTAGACTCAATGTGTTTTGGTTCAGACCCTAAACTAAGGTAAGCCTGGTCTAGCTCTAGAGGCAACTCTATGGTTAGACCTATGCTAGAACCTAGACTAAGATCTAAACTAGATAGTGAACAAGTCTCGGCTTGGACTAAGTGTGGGTCTAGGTTCGGACCGGGGTGTGAGCCTGGTTCGGACTTGGGCTGAGCTGGGTGCAAGCCTGAGCTTGGACCTAGAGGGTTTTGAAACTCAGACTGGATGTGAACCCGGACTGGATCAAGATTGAACTAGGAACGAGCCTTCGGCTCGGACCAAGAGGGGGCTTAGGTTCTAACCTGAGTGCGAACTTGGTTCGGACTTGGTTTAGGCTGGGTACAAACCTGGACTTGGACCATGAGAACTTTAATGATCAGACCAGGTGTGGACTTGGAATGGATCAAAGATGATCCAGGAATGAGCTTTCAACTTTGATCGAGAGGGGGCCTGGGTTCGAACCTGGGAACCTGGTTCGGACCTGGGCTAGGCTGGGTACAAGCTTGGACTTAGACCCAAAGAGTTTTAATGATCAGACCAGACGTGGACCTAGACAGGATCAAAGATAAGCTAGGAATGAGCCTTCAGCTCGAACCTAGAGGAGGCCTAGGTTCGGACAAAGGGTGTGAACCTGATTCAGATCTAGGCTAGGCTAGGTACAAGCCTGGACTTAGACCCAAAAGCTTCAACTCCGACCAAAAGCAGGTCCGGACTGGAATCTAAGATTAACCGATCAGAAATAAGCAAGCAAGCACACAAAAACATTTGGCCTAGTCTTATTATGGGTAAGCTTGGCTTGAGAGTGTGTTCCTAACTATCAAAATGCTGCTAGGCTGATATAGGTCCCAACATAGGTTCTGCCCTCCTGTTATAGGATGTTCACCAAGTCCTACTTTACGCTGAGCTGCTTTGAGGCAAAGGATTATGGAGGGGCGCTCACAGTTAAAGTTATGCGAATCCCAACCGCCTCAGCTCTCAATGCTAGGTTCCCCTCACGTCGTTAACGCGGATTTTAGGGGTTTTGAAAAAAAAATTTCTGGTTTTCCGGGATTCCCGATTGGTGTGTGCTAGAGTGTGTAAAGAAGCACACATATGAAAATAAAGTCAAGCACACAATAAGAAAGAAAACAAGTGAGTGCTCGGCGCTGATCGCTCCTAGCGATGCGTGCTTTGAGGTGAAACTCGCTCGAGGTACAATATAGATGGAGGGGTGAGGAACCCCTAAGAATGTATAGTCAAAGTAGTGAAACCAGACACTGTTCGTGTTAAGTTGAGCGTGACCCGAGTCGAGGATGACTCGAATGGGACATAGTTCTGAGATGGTGCGAGCAGACTTCGATGTACTCTTTTATTTTGTAGTTTTTTTATTTTTTATCTTTTTGAAGTTTGATGAAACACAATTAAACTAAGCGTGGTGAAAGCCAGAAAAACATTGTTTCAGTCAAAATTAACAAACTAAAATAAAAAAGAAAAAGTCAGGAGCAGGACAGACTTATCTGAAGCAACATATTTTTCTTATATTTTTAAAATTTTTATTTTAAGTGAAAACTTGGTCAACAGGGAGCCAAAAGTCCCTGGAACAATTTTGTGGGGTCCCAAGAATTTTCTGGGGCCTCTGTGATAGGGCGGCACGGGTCGTGTCGCACCTACAAGTTGGGCGGCACGGGTCGTGTCGCCCAAAAACAAATATTTTTTTTATTTATTTTTAACTTATTGATCTTGATGAAATAAAAATACTAAAACTTGCAGAAGTAGAAAAATTAGAATTTCGAGGAAATAAAAGTAAAACAAAGTGAAACAGAAGAACAACAGATAGAACATACCGGTATCAAGAAAAATATTTTTTTGGTATTTTTAAAAATTTTATTTTGCTCTGAATCCTTAAGAACAGTCACAAAAGAGACTCAGGACCCAGCCTACAAAATTTCAAAAAATTATGAATTGGGCAACGAGGGGAACTAGAGAGCGTGTCGCCGTGGACCTGGGCAGCACGATCCATGTCGCCTGGGTGGCACGGCCTGTGTCGCCCGAGGGGCATGCCTAGTGTCGTCCAAAAATTATTTTTTTATATTTTTTTATATTTTTTTATATTTGTTTCTTGTAGATCTTGATAAAATAAGCTTACTGTAAACTTAGAGAAATAGCAAATAAATTTTTTTTGATGAAAATAAATTAAAATAAAGCGAGAGGAGGGGACTGTAGATCTAACAGAAATTTTTTTTTTTTGTATTTTTTAAATATTTTATTTCGCCTTGAAACTTTGGGAATAGTCACAAAATCGTAACTAGAGTATGCCTGCAAAGTTTCGAAAGATTCTAAGATTTTTGAAATTTTGAGGCTCGGATTATGCTCGATTTGCCCCATAGTGGGCGCCAAACTATTTACCATGAAAAATCAGAGAGATCTTGGAATGAAGATCTCTCGGATCTGACACTTTAAACTAATGAAAAATGAAGGAAATAAAATGGTAAAGAGCATGGGAATAATCAAATTCAGATATGGGATCAGATCTTCTAAGAAAGAGCAGATCTGTTCTTAGATTTGTGGCGGAGTCAGCATTATCCAAAGCATTTCAAAATACGATTTTCAATCAAAACAAATCAAAATCAGATCAAAACAAATAAATAAAATAAAATAAAGAAGAAATGAAATGAGAATGAGTACCTGACTGGGCTGGATGGCCCAATACTTACGAGCCTTCTAGAGCTCACCCGTATCAGAACCGGTTCCTCTTGCCTTACTGGTCCAGATGTCGATCAGCAAGTCTTTGGTAGATCTGATCTGTGTCTTAAGGGTAGATCTGGGCTTTCTCTCTCTAGCATTTCTTTTTTTGAAGTCTCCCCCTCTCTCTCTCCGTCCCCCTCTAAATGGCCCTGGAAGATGCTGGGAAAGGGGGGGGGGGGGGGGGGAGGGGGAATTTCTTCCCGTAACCGACCAGCAAACTCAGTCAAAAACATGTTTCAGAGGTTTCGGATCTGGGCAACTGGGTTGTGTCGCCTGGGCGGCACGCCCCATGTCGCCCAAACCAAAACTTGTCGAAATTTAAGTTTTTCTATCAAGTGTGTTCCTCAGCTTCTTGTGAAGCTCTCAGAGAAAATTAGGGTCCAAACAGATTTTTCTACTATTTTTAATGAATTGTTTGATAAAATAGGGTATCTATAGAAATGTAGATCAAAACAGGGTTTCTGCAGCGTTTTGGGTAAGCAAACTAGTTTTGGATCAAAAACTGGTTCCGGATCACAAAGTAGACTATGTGAACTATGAATTTGACTTTATTAGGTTACTGAAATAGTAGAATTTGCCTGTTTTAAATCTACAATTATAAAGCGGTCTCTTATATAAACCTTTTCCTTCTAAAAAAGCCATCCATATTTTAACGCCCACCTAGCATTTAAAGGGCTGAAAATGAGCCGGCCCAGCCCTACTTTGAAAACGCCAAATGGGCTAGGCTGGGCTATGATAAGGATGGATGGACGCTCGACGTTTTCTTAAAATGTTTTTTCTTTAGATGTATTAGGCCCCGATTAGTCCAGCCCGACCTCTATGGTTCGGTTTAGGCCAAGCTGGGATCGAGCTGGTCCTATGCGGACCAGGGCTGGCCCTGCGTCGGTCCAGCTCTCTGCCCAACAAGCTCCGATCTGATGGACCTGACCGGCTGGGTCGCCCAAAGAGAGTACCAACCAGACCCACCAAACCTCAATGAGTCAATTTGTTGTCTTCATAAGCATCTAAAATTTCCCCAAATCAACTCGGCAAAGATTTGAGAGCGCACTTAGCGCTTTGTTCTCGGTTGACATTGCGACGATGAACGGAGACTGGGAGTTTCATCTGAGGCTTCTCTCTCAGAATGCGAGGGACTCCTCTGCAAATGATGTCTCAACCGATCCATCCCTTCTTGAATCAGTAATGATATTCCATCCATTTCTTTCTTTTTTATATGGCAGACAGGGCTTTTGCTCTTTTGATTTATTGGTATTCAATTTTGTTTATAGTTTATTCTTGATATATTTAGGTCAAGAAGCTCTATGAGATGTGCAAGAACGAGAATTCTGAGGACCTGATCGCTAGGGTTTATTCCCACATGAACAAGCTCTTCCAGCGGTGCATCGCAGCCATGTCTCAGGCCCAGACGTCAAATGGTCTCCTACACCTGGTACTACCACCTCATTACCTTTTCATCTAAGTGATTATTAGTTCTCTTTTTTCTCTTTTATTCATATCTCCAAATTATGAAATGATTGGAGTAGCTATAGTGTCATGTCTTGTGGTTCCTTGACATTTACGAGTGGCAAAAAGTTACTCATTTGCGGATTTGAGTCCCGAAATTAAATGTTGGGAAGTCATCACTCTGCTATTCCTTTGTCTTGGTTCCTGAATCTTCCTTTGCAGTGTGGTTCCCTATATTCATTATATGGTGCGGTTTGTATAAGGTGTAACGCCTCTAAATCTTGCTAAAAGATGTAGTTCCGGTCTTGGAAACAGATATTATGACGTAAAAGTCTATTTTCTTGGCTAACTATGAAATATTGAAATTTATTTTACAATACAGCACTCTTAGGTTAGGAATCAAAAAGTGTAAGGAAGATCAAGATCTCGGGAGCGAGAGAAAGTTGGAGGAGATATAAGTGAGATAGAAAGTCACGTGATAAAGAGGGAAAGAAGGGAGAGTCATAGGTAAAAAAACTAAAGCTACAAAAGTACTCCTTAATTAAGGGAAATGACAAAAATGTCCTAGGGACTTAAATACAAGAGACAAAGATAAAAAACTTAATTGTTGACAACACTCCTCCTCAAGTTGGTGCATGGATATCAGTCATGCCCAGCTTGCTTAGAACATTTGTAGTTGAAGTTCCCCACAGTAGAAGGACATTGACTATTTTAATGGAAAGCCAAGTTCTTTTAAGAAATTTTTTAACCAGAGTAATTCACATGCATCATGAGCCATGGATCTGTAGTCAGCTTTTGCACTTGATCTTGCTACTGCAAATTGCTTTTTACTTCTCTAAGTCATAAGGTTCCCTCCAACAAAGGTACAATACCCCAATGTCTATCTTTGATCTATAATTGAACCAGCTCAGTTTGCATCTGTATGGACTTCAACCCTTAAATGCCCATGATCAGGAAACAACAATATCTCCCTGGTGATGATTTTAGGTACTTGAATATTCTGATAGCCGCGTCAAGGTTAATAATTCGCGGGAGTGCATAAATTGACTAATCACACTCACAACATTTGCACTTATGCAATATCTAGACGTGACAGAGAGAGGTATATTAGTCGACCCACTAATCTTTGAAACATACCGACATCCTTGGGAGCTTCTCCCTTTAGTCATCAAGCTTGTGGTTTTTTTCTATTGGTGTGTCAGCCGGTTTCGCTCCAAGCTTTCTAGTTTCTTTTAGTAGATCCAATATACTCTTCCTTTAAGGGGCCGTTTGGATACCTGAAAATATATTGTCTGTGAAATATATTACTGGCGTAATACATTACCTTCAAATAGATTGTTACTGTTTGGGTAGTATTTAGATGCAACCTGGGAAGTACATTTATATTTTTTGGCTATGTCTAGAAAAAATATGGGAAATGCATTGTCAACAGTTTACCAGCACTTGCCTATAAACTATCATCACACCATTCCAAAAAGCCATCATCACACCAGCCCAAAACGATTTTTTAACAATAACATCATCACCATTCCAAAAAGATTATTTAATAATAATTTGTACCATTCTAAAGTCATCATCACACCATTTCCTACTTATTTTGCATTCTTTTGGCACTTACATGATATTTGGCACTTACATGGAATCACATGTCTTCTAACATGATTAGACTTTGGTTTCAACATGATAAGTCATTGGAATAACATATTTTTATTGTGATAAGCCTTATTTTTATTTATTTATTATAGAAGTCTTTCAAATGTCTCCATATAACTTCAAATAAGCAATAAATTTATGATACCGAATTCAAAATCTTTATGGTACAAGTTAAAAATGGGAAGAAGTTTGATTAGTAAACTAGAAGGTTTGGTAATTGCAGTAGAAAATTTTGAGGCATTGGAGGAGACTAAAGAGGTAGGGCTTATCCACACCAAAATAACTGGTTAAAAAGAGAGGGAGCATCTTATGCAAACCAGTTATTAGGGCTCAAGAGAGAAAGCGGACGGGCTTAGAGAGGGAGGAATACCTTATACAAACCAGTTATTAGGTCTCAAGAGAGAGGGCTTACAAGTGAAGAGAGAAGCGTCGCTTTGGTAAGTTACTCAGATGAGTTTGAGAGAGAGCGAAAATGGCTAGTTGGCATTTTTTTAAGCGGGGGATTAAGGCACAGAGAGAGTAAGGCACGCGAAAGATTTCCCAAAGTTTACCCGTCAAGGCGTGTAATAGATTTTTCACCTCTCACTACGTGTAATCAGTTTCATGATTTTTGGGGAAATCTTGGGTAATCTCGGGTAATCTCTTTCCATTTCCTTACTATTAAAATGCACCAAAACAGTGGAAATGTCATATTTCCTTGTAATTTATTTTCAAGTAATAGATTTCCAGATACCCAAACGGCGCCTAAGAGATGAAAATACCTCTTTTTCACCTGGCTACTTCAATTTCGTGAAAGAACTTCAGCAGGCCTCGATATTTGATTTCAAATTCTCTTGTCAGAAAAACTTTAAGTTGTTGAATTTCCTTAGGACAATTACTAGTTACAACAATTGTTTTCATGTATAAAATTAGGACTGTGGTTTTGATCTTTGTATATTTAATAAATAAGCTGTAGTCCACATGACTTCGAGTATACCTAATTCTTTGGACCATCCCACTGAACCTCTCAAACCAAACCCAATGAGATTATTTTAGTCCACACATGGCCTTTCTGAGTCTACAAACTTTCCCTTCACGTCGGTGCACGAAACCCAAGTGGAGGTATCATAACACTCTTCTTCTTGTATTTCCCCATGAAGGAATGCATTCTTGACATCCAACTGATGCAAGGGCCACTCCAAGTTAGCCGCCTAACACAAAAATACTTGGATGAAACTCATTTTAGCTACAGGAGTAAATGTTTCCTAGTATTCTATTCCGTAAGTCTAACCCTTGCCAATTACTCTTTCCTTCTACCTGTCAATAATACCATCAGCCGTGTGCTTTACAGTGTAAACCCATTGGGATGCTTGAGCATCTCCTAAGTGCCATTCTTAAGTAATGCCCTCATCTCCTCACACATCGCCTCCTTCTACATAGGATGAGCTAAAGCTTCTATAATACAAGAAGGGATAGAAACAGAAGACAAAGAGGGCACAAGAAACACGGTAGGAAGGAGATAAGGACTCGTAAGAAACAAAGTTGCCAATCGGTAAGTAGTACAACTACGTTTACCTTTTCGTACAGCAATGGGTAGATCCAATTGTTCACACTAAGAACTGATGAAAGTGGAGTAGTAATGCCTAGATCAGAGGTACGAGACTGGCTCCGAGGCATGTTAGCAACGGTGGTGTCAATGTCTTTTTGTTTCCATTTAGGTAAAGACGTTTAATTCATTTTTTTTTAGCTCTGACATCAAAAGACTGTATTACACTGTCCTCTTGAGTCAGAAAAAATAGGAACAAGAAGGGGAACATGGGAGGTCTCTTCTATGTTGTGCTTCCCTTGAAGAGAGGTGGGGATGAAAGGAGTAGACTCAAAAAAGGTTACATCTATTAAACAAATTTCTTACCCAATACTAGATCATAGCATTTGTAACTCTTCAAAGAGGAAGGACAATCGAGAAAAATACATTTTATGCATGTAGGTTCTAAATTTGTATGATTTGGACCAAGGACATGCGCGAAGCAAACACAACCAAAAACATTAAGAGGAACATTAAAATGTGAATAATCTAGAGAAGTTTATTGGACGATTTGGTCTAGACCACGAGGGGGCATTCGATTGATGAGATAGGATGCTATAAGCATAGCTTCAGACCAGTACTTCTTGGGTACATTCATACTCAATAGAAGAGCACAACTCACTTCTAATAGGTGTCTATTCTTTCTTTCAGCCACTCCATTTTGTTGTGGGGTCCATGAGCAAGAATTTTGATTTTCTATGCCCTGTTCTTCAATGTAGGACAATAATTCTCCATTATAATACTCTCAACCCTGATCTGACATGAGTACCTTATTTTAGTGTCAAACTGATTATGAGTCATCTTATGAAAGACCTTAAAGATTTCAGAAACTTCATCTTTGGTCTTCATAAGATGGATCCATGCACACCGAGAGTAATGATCCACAAAGGGAAAAACTATATTGATAACCAAATCCATACATCAAAATGAATAATAGCAAAATAAATAATACTTCTATTACTACTGGGTAAAAAAGAGTTTCTACAATGTTTTGAAAGTCCACAAACTTCACATTGAAGCTCTGACATAGTTGCAGAAGTAATCAACTAAAGAAATACAATTTTTAATGATAGAAAGAACAAATGGCCAAGTAGGAGATCCTGCTGCCAAATATGATATCTATCGACAGTACTATAGGACTGAATAGCTTGAGGAGAAGTAGTAATAGGCAGGTCAAGATGTAGAGACCACCAGCTTCATGACCATTGCCAATCATCTTCCTCATATGGAGGTCTTGAAAAAACACAATGGGAAGGAAAGAAGGTTACATTATATTTTGCTGGATTTCCTGAACTTTTCTGGCAATAATATAGGAAAAATCCCTGATTCTTTTGATAACCATGCTTTTGATTTGAGCTTCATAGGAAACTCTGCCCTTTGTGGAGTAAACATTTAGCCTTGTGATGCACACATTAGAGATTTAGGTAATGGATTGCTAGATTATATGGTCACAATCTTGATAATTGCCAGAATAATTGCCACATCTTGCATTCACCATAGTGACCTTCTTTTATTGATGGAAAAGATTATCTTGTGAAAATTCGATGAAGTGGAAGGTGAGGCTGAGAGAGGAGAGTTTTAGGGAAGTTGTATAGGAAAAGAGTTTTGAAGGAGGTCGTTTAGGGAGAGCTACATGATAAAGATCGCCGCGTGGAGAGTAGGGGGAAACACATCCCATTGGATTGAGATGCAAGAATTGAATCCTGCAAAATTAAAGTCGGACTTAACTTTTGTAAGATTCGAACAGGGGAAGAGTTTATATAAGGTTG